TCGAACTTACTGAAAATCAATTAAAATTTTATGTAGACCTCAAATTAAAAAATGATTTAATGTCTACTATTAAATAATGAAGAATCTGTATGTATGTATATGCTTGTATGTTCCTGTCATTGAGGAAACACGGCAGCATCTTGAGCCACTAAATTTTGATTAAATTAAAATTTTATGTAGACCTCAAATTAAAAAATGATTTAATGTCTACTATTAAATAATGAAGAATCTGTATGTATGTATATGCTTGTATGTTCCTGTCATTGAGGAAAAACGGCAGCATCTTGAGCCACTAAATTTTGAATCAACATAGTCTTCCACCCGAACACGAGCACCTTAAAGCCCGAATTTTCAATTTCCGAATTTGAGTTTTATTCATTTCATATTTTGAGCAAATTTAAGAAATTTTGAATAGAGTGACATAAAAGATCTGTGGTGCCACTCGGCAAGTTGTTTATGTTTCAAATTTAATCAGAAAATCCGCCGCATAGTATAAAAGAAGTGTTTTTGCCACTCGACAAAACGCAATGTATTTGTCTTGCCTATTTAATCAACAGTCTCTGCGATTTAAAAGAAATATGCTGCCTCTATCCGAATTAATTGCAGCGTTCACTAAAGTGTAAGACATTTAATTTTTATTTCAAATTTATTATGTTATTAATTAACAAGCTAAGCTATTTAAGAGCGTTAAACGCAGATCGATTACTTTCCATTATTATTAATTACTAAACTTGATCCATGAAATTACATTAGTTAGATTCATTAAAATCATTGTATCTATATATATATTTCTTTTACAGTAATTTCTTTATTTTCTTTTGCAATATTTTATAAAAAGTTTAATGAAAATTATGGATCAAAATTTTCAGTCTTACGTTATTCTGCAAAATAGAAATCAGTAGAGAATAAAAAGAGGGAAAAGATTTTAAATATATAAATGCGTTTATTTCTTTGCTAATTAATAAAATATTCTGCAGTAAAAAACAAGATTCTTCTTTAAATGTTTATTTTTTATGACTATCTTTTATTAAATTTACTTGTTTTATTTTGCATATTCTTCATAGGCGCAATATCATGTTTTTAATTTTTTTCAAATCCTAAATTTTCATTAATCTGATTCGGAATCCTAAAAAGTTCTCTAATCTCACGAATCTTTCAAATTATAACAAGATGAAGGTAAAAAAGAAAGAAAAAAACCTTAATATTAAAAAATTTTTTAATAAATTTTGAAATCTGCGTTCCAGGAAAAAATATGAATATAGTTTCTTAAAAACATTGTTAATGTTTATTAAAAAAATAAAAATAAAATTTACTAAACTAAATATATAATTAAAATTCATGTGATATTCTTGCAATATTTATTCTCTCGATATACTCTGACAAAAAATGTTTTTAAGTTACAGTTTAAATTTTTTGCATAATCTTTTTAAATCAAAGGAATGTAGAAGGAAGGGAATTATTTCAAGTGTTAATAAGGATAAGTTCTAAACATTGAAAGCTAAATTGTCTCCAGAAGTTAAACAGAATGTCACTCGAGTCCACAAGTTAACAGTGATCTAAATCTACAGAAATCGTAGCAAACTGCGTTCATTTTAGCGAATGTTTCAGTTGAATGTCAATAAAACTTATGTTTCCAAAGTTTTAAGGTAAAGTGCTGAAAGGTTTTCCGAAGATAAGATTCGAAGGACCAAAAAAGCATAAAAATTTGAGTTTGGAGCCCAAGATCTTGCTCAAGGGTTGTTGGATCCGAGAATTCGAGTAGCGTGTAATAATAATAATGTCCCTAATTTTGTAGGAGTTTATCTTTGTATAGGGAAGATTTTGAGCTTGAAAAAGGAACATCAAGGAGTAAATGTCTATATGGGAAATGACATATGATAAAAAGTATGGCCGGCGCTAGGCATTTTGCTATCCGCTTCAGTCTGTATGGGTTTTAAGTTCTGCAGCTCGATGTTTTCCTAAATTCTAAAAATTTTACCATCTCTAAATATTGCTACTCGGTGCTTCTCTAAATTCTAGAAATTTTGCGGCCTCTAATATCTGCCGTCCGTCTGCTAAGGTTACACCCGCTCTGCTTATGAAAAGTGGGAAATGCAAATTCGATAATAAATCCATGTAACAGAGGCATTACAAGAAAGACAATTAGTGGGAAATTTGATTTAACAACTATGACAGAAAGACATGACATTTTTAAAGGATTTAACAGAAAAATGAATGACTAGAGATTTTAAAGTTTCTAAGGAGCTCCTTGTACAGTCGTTGTTGGCATTAAACTTGTCATTTAAAGCTTAAGCTCCATCATCGCTTTTGGTATTCTCGTATTCATCAGAGAAGTGATTAAATGAAAACATTTGGTATGTTACGTATAAGAAAATTCTGTTTCGTGCCAGTACGCTTTCCGAAATTTCTGCGCGTTTTTTCCGAATCAGAAAGTTATTGTTTACTCTCCAGGATTCACTTTTAGGTTCTTTTGTTATGAGTTGAACGAAAGAGACTTGCCGCTGCGTTTTCACTTTCTTTTCAAGTGCAAGTTTCAGCGCTTTTCAAATTTAATCATTGTAAATAAAAGAGAATGAAGATAAACAATGGGAAGAAAAGAGCCAACAACAAAAACGTGTTGCTTGAAGAAATGGGTCAATAGATTCACTTTGTATTTGAAGAGACCTCTAAAAGGTCTTTTACAGGGCTTTTTGTTCTTTCATATTCGTTCGCTGCCCTCTGGCGTGGGTTTTAACTCGAGCAGCAAGCAAGTTGTTCGCTGAATAACCGGTCATTATCAGTCCTCTCTTTTACTTTGGCCAGAAAAGCCCATTCACTGCGATTTCTGTGTCAAGGTTTACCATCTATTACTTGACGTTTTGGATCAAGAATTTTAACGGAATGTGGATTTCAACTGCCATCCTTGACTTAAAAGTGGGTGGGGAAAGATAAAATATTTTGATGCCTTTGAGAATAAAATTACGTAATTTTGATTGCAGAAAAGGAAAAAAGAAAAGAAAGAAATTTGCTTCAGTTTCCTGCATTAAAAAAAATCTTTTTTGAATTGTTCTTTAGAAAATGTAATTTTTCTATTTTTTTTAAATATTTCTTAAAAAATAAAATAGGAAACACAATGACAGAAAATTCCTTTCAGTTTTATTGTGGATGCGTAACTTATTTTCATCATTCGCCTTGTAACTCCATAAGAAGAGATTAATTTCAGGAGTTATAAAATTAGATTAAATACCAGAATTACAATTAGTTTTAAATTTCTAAAATAATTCATAACTTAAAGTGTATGAATTACTTAAAAAATGGTGGCGATTTATCGCCCTGACTGAATCAGAGGACAAATAAAGATAAACAAGCTTTTATCTACCATTTTTCGTTACAAGCAAAGAAAAAATTATTAATATAAAAAAATTGATTTGCTTAAGGACAATAATCTTATAAAATTAGGCTACCTGTCTTTTTTTTTTTTTTTTTTTTTTCTTTTTGGCTGACGTATAATTATAACGAGTTATAAATCAAGCTATTTGGCTTCATGTAATCAATTATATAGAGGACGTTCATATACCACTAACATGATAATGATACTTGATGCGGTCTCCAACCAATAATACTACCTTGTTTTCAACGTAAATAGTAGTTGAAGAGGCAATCAGTCACTAGCAGCAACCAATCACTTGCAGAAATCAATCACTAGCAATGCACCAGGAAGATGGGCTCACGGACCTGGCTTATTAAATGACTTTGGTTAAAATCCCCAAACACCTAGATGCAATCCAAGAAGGCATTATTCCCCAGTCAATCTAGGGGGACAATTTTGATGCATACAGTCTGAGATTAATAACGCAAGTCAATGGAGAGCGGCATGCATCCACCAACAAGGAGAACATAATTAAGACACAATAACACGCCGAATAAATACTAATTCAGAAGTCAAACTACAAAAATCAGCAAATTTTGTAAATATAAAGCTGATTTTTGTTGTTTGACTTCTGAATTAGTAAGGAGAACATAGTAAAGTCGTCGACTGTCTCCCTGTGTTGACCAGGGAGAGCCAAACTACCACGGAAACCTTCGATATCTAACCATGTAGCAACCCCACAACCAAGAGGCAGATAAGGCAGTACCATAGGTCCTTGCCGAGCTTGAACCTACCACCGAATAAACGATGGTTCTAGTCTCTGTGAAGACTGATTATTTTCCTCAGAAATCGAGTCTCTCTAGGTACAGGTCCTAGCCGGAACGCCCGGAGTTTTCCCCTAAGTCGATCCCCGGTTTGGGGTTGGAATCGATCATTAGCGGAATCATTGCAGTTAATCATTAGCAGAAAATCACCAGCAACAAGGTAACTCTTCCTGTAGTCATAAGTTGCAATTAACATCCACTTGTCTTTAAACTTCTTATACGTGCTTTACATTTGCATTAGTATGAATGAATATATGTAAGGAACGAATATATGTATATAGCCTTTGTAAATGAATGTAAGTGGATCAGTTTCTTCTTGTTAAATTTGGTAAAGATTCATTCGAATAATCTCATGGTTCAAAAACTGTCATCAGGGAGCAAATACTTGTATTACAATTTTTATAAACCAAAGCTTGATTTTAAGAAATTAGCTTCTAAATCTACAAATGTTTGCTTTTGTTTTATGTACATGTTACTGAATTACTTTCTTCAGATTAATAGTTTAGAAATAACTGAATAAAGAACCGATATGGTATACAATAATGTTTTTTTCTGTAAACCATTTACTGCAAATATTATATAATTTAATTTTAAAGTTGCAAATGCTCTTTGCAATGACCAGTATTTCCAATAAATAAATAAATAAATGAGCTTGTTCTTTATATTACTTCACCTAAAAATAATGAATATATTTTAGCGAGATAAAGAAAATTTGATGCACGCAGTAGAACTAAATATATTAACTGAGTATGTTTGCGATTAATACTTATGCAAGTAACCGGCTAGAGATGAATTAACAGATTTTTTTTTTCTTTATTTTTTAATAGGAAGAGAATTATGGGTTATTCTGGTAACAAGCGACCCACAAGAAGAACCATTATTTAAGCCCAATGTTAAATATGTTGCAAATATGCATGGAAATGAGGTAAGGCTTTTGGAATGTGTCATTTATAACGATAAATAGATTGGATGTGCAAAAATAGATCACTGGAAATAACGTGCTCTCTTGAGATTCTTTTATTCCCTGTGCTGTAGATCTGCTACTGTTGGACTCTAATTTTGCTGATGCAAACGGTCGCTCACATTTACAACTTAAAAGATTAGCATTTCGTTGCTTACTGCAATGGATCAAATTTAGGAAGACAAGTTTTTCATTCACAGAAATGAACGAATGCTTCCAATCAATAAATAAATTAAATGCTTCCATTAATGTCAAAAGATTCCCTACCCCGTACGTGTTAGTTTTTATGCAATTTTCTTATAGCTAAAAATTTCCTACAAAATAAACTAATGGCAGTAGTGCTAATAGGATGAATTACTGATATGCTTTAAAGATGAGACATAAATTATAACAAAACTCCAATTATCTGGGCTCCATTTATATGAAGTTTATATTTATAAGCTAAATAAGCCCATTATTAATTTGTTTACTTGCTTTTAATTTTCATTAATTAAAGTGATTTAGAAGCATAATATAATAGAGTACAAACTTTTCAGACGCTGTTAAAAATTAATTTTAATAAGTGTATGTGGCATAAGTTGACCTTCAGTATTCGATGAACAGGTAAATATCCTTCAAATATTAAAAGAAAAATAATCAAGTACTGTTTATAGAGATACTGTGATGTTTGTAAGGTGTACGTAAATAAAAATTAGAAAGTAAGAAAAAAACATTTTTTAATTTTGCAAAATGTGTATTTTCTGTTTTATTTTATTCATTTAGATCGTGGTCCTGACTAATCTGGATATCTGCAGATTACCAGTTTACATATTTAGTTACGTTGTGCATCAAAAGATTAAACATAAAACAGTACGGAATAACTTCTAAATTTCTGTTTCGATTGACTCCAGTAATTAATTAATAATTTTAAGTAATTTCAGTAATTATACTGCTTTATTGTAGTAAAAACATGTGTACACAATTAGAATCTCCACTTTAATATTAATTTCCTGTATAATGCATTTATAAATATTCCCAGATGAAAGTTATGATATGTAATTCACTGAATAACTTCTGACTTTCCAAGATCCTTCAGATACTGACTTGATGTTTAAATCGATGACTATTTAATCAACTAATCAAGGATAATAGAGGGTAACGACTACCGTTCTTGCTAAAGGGTAGCTTACTGCTTCTTGAAGGTTTTTGTTGGGTACGGAAGCAAAGGTAATCCATCTGAGGGGACTTTGAAGACTCAGTCTGACCTAAATTCAAAGAATATATTAGCTACCTCGTCCATTTGGGCATCTAGCTGATACTAACTGTAGACTAAGATCTGTGATTTTCTTCACACGTAACAGATTTTATGATAAGAAAAGACTTATCTTAATACATTATCAGAATGATAAATAAAAATAGTTTCAGTCTCTAATCATCTCACAGTGTGAAAGCAGCAATTATATCATCTAACCCTTAGAGATAGCTCTCGTAGGTTTTGTCATAGTCAAAACAAATTAACAAACTAACTTCTAGAGTCTGATGATGGTTTGAATTATCATATACGTTAAGTCATCCTTCATAGCGAATTAATTGATAGTTCTTGCCTTGGTCATGTTAGAACTCTTTAGTTTATTCTATCCATTTTTCATTGTCGGCATATTATGTTACAGTACCCTACCTACCCGCCCTGGCAGAGTTAGCAATTCATCTAGTTGTTTCCAGATATAGTATATTACATACCGTTTTTGTTAACAAAATAAGACCCTGTTTTTAGGTTTTTCTGTATTTTTGTTCTAAAATATATATGGTAGAGTCTTATAATCAGGCAATTTTTATAAATAAAATTAAAGAATGGGAGGAAGGGGCTTAATTATCATACCTTACAGAATAATTACACTGTTTAAATGCAAATAAAGCAGGTTTTGTTATAGTTAAATAATTAAGAATAGTTTATCAGCTAATTTTGGGTACAGAAACGCAATGGTTTTCCAGTAGAAGAGGGATTGCAGTTGAGTCCGATGTATCCTCCTCTTGATAAAGTTATATCTGATTTGATTGAATTCCTCTTCTTTGGTATTTTTTTCTGCTTTTTGTACAATGTAACCAAAAACATTCTTGCCGTTTTGAGCAGTCAGAAAGAAAATGTTATAAAACAAAGAAAAATCACCGCTAATCCTCAAAGTAATCATCATCGGCATAAAGTAATCATCATAGTCGTGCCTTTTGCTAACGAGTGGCTGGCTGTGCGATGCCATCGCGGTAAAATTCAGGAGCCTTGTATGCAAATAAGCCGGTGAGGGCTTTTTCGAGGTCTGGGCGGTTGTTGAAGGATTTCCCACGAAGATAGTTGTCCAGGGAATGAAAAAGGCGGTATTCTCTTGACGCGTGGTCTGGGGAGTATGGTGGATGGGGTAATGTCTCCCAGCCCAGTCGCTGGATTGTGTCCGAGCCATATGCGGCCTCGCATTTTCATGGAAGAAGAGTACACCCTAACGATTGACCAATGCATCAGTCTCTTTATGCATCAGTGCCTGATCCACACCTTCCAACTCCTACGAGTGCAGGACTGCCGTGATGGTTTGACCCACTGGCAGGAGTTCATAGTACACCACTTGGCGACTAGTCCACCAGATACAGACCATGATCTTGCATGGGTGGAGGAAAGGTCTCGCTGTGTGAGGCACAAGGTCACGTGGTAACAACAAATTTTTGGAACGCCTGGGTGTGTCATACTGGACCCACGTTTCATCGCTGGCGAGTACTCGATCAAATATGTATGCATTGCGGTGCCGAGTAAGCAATGACAAACAGGCAGCGACACGCTGTTGTTTGTTTGCATCGGACAGTGAGTGGAGTACCCACTTGCTCAGTTTGTATGCCTTTACTATACGGTGCAAATGGAATCTGATCATTTCATCAGATACCTGGAAGTATGCAGCAAGCTCAACATATGTTTGGCTACTGTCATTCTCAATGGCTGCTCTCAGGGCCTCATCGCCCAGCGCTTGTGACCGACTGCTGCGTCGTGCATCACTAAGAGACGTATCTCCTGACCTGAACTTCGGGCACCATTGCCTAGCGGTTCGTTCGTTAACAGCATCATCCGCAAAGGCCTGGCAAATTCGGCGACGTGATTCTGCTGCTGACAGGCCCACTTAAAAATCATACAGCAAACAACTCCGAACGAGCGCCTTTGACGCATCCATTTCAATCAGTCGCTATGTGAGTTATGTTATGATGATTATCGAGCAATATGCATGATTTGTTCTGGTTGTCATCAGGTGATAGCACAAAGTGCGCAGAAGGTTCTTGGACCAACGGTTCGGAGACTGAGTCCGAACCGTAGGTCCAAGAGGGCAAGAGTTGATGGTGAATCAAATCAAATCGGTTCATGGCTTTCGCAACATTAGCAGACTGACTGAATAGTGCCCTAAGGCGTTCTTTTTTACGGGGATACTTCTTTCTAGGTCTTCTTTCATGGTTTCTGGCAGGTTTTTCAAGATAACTTTTAAAGGTTTTCCCTCTCTAGTTGATAAGTGTGGAAAGGAATGTTCTTAGCTTGTAATAGTCTGGTAGCTGCGTGATATTCTTTAGGAGTCTTGACGTTAACGTACAGAGATTGAGTCTTCATTTCAGCTTCAATTTCGTCCGTGCATACTGTGTAGAGTAATTCTCCCACTTCCATTCAGTTAATTTCTTTTTGTGAAAATACGATCGGTGGTGGAATCTCGTCTGATATTTCCATTGGGTTTTCCGTTGATATTTCCATCGGGGTTACTACAGCTGATGGAACCGATGCAACGCGCTTTTATACTCTTGGTCAATGCCCGGACTCCCATCCTAACCACTTTATCGCCAGGCTTGGCGACTATTTTTATGTTGGGGTTCACTCTTCCAATGTCATATCAGAAACGGCAAGAGCGTTTATTTATAGGGTATTTGAAATTAATTGGTATTGAATTTCACTTCGTTTGGGTCTCTGTGTAAAACAAGTTCTAAATTTCTCACTTTTTGCTTATATATGTATATATATATATATATATAAATTAAAGTTATATATATATATATATATATAGTGGCGGACAAAAAAAAACTGCATCAACTTCTTAAAAATGAAAAAGTGTGCATATAATGTGTTTCATGTATATGTTTTGTGTAAAGATAATATTGTTACAATGAAATAAAGTTGTGGGATTTATCAAGTTTTATTAGGATTAATAATTTGATTTTAATTACTCAGAAAAATAAAAAATGTGTGAAAATGTAATACTTAAGAAAGTGGGGAACAAAGTAATTAATACACAAATTTTGTAGTTAATGTAAGTTCTACGTAAGTACGTATACTTCCTCGAGTTGCGATGACAGCCTTGCAGTGGTCCGTCATAGAAGATATGATCTTCTGAATGTAATTCTGGTCAATTTCATGGATCCAAACTAATGCTTTCCTGCAGTTTAATTTTAGTAGCAGGCTTTTTAGCATCAATTTTTAATACCCATTATATGCCAACAGTTTTCAGTGGGATTCAGATCGGGTTAATTCCCAGGTCAGTCCAAAACTTTAATTCCAAATTTTGCCAGATAGGCCTGCAGCTAAAGGGAGGAAAATTACTTTTGTAATATCCGTTATGTTGTGGAGATGAAAACTTGTAAATGAGACAACAAAATCATGCATAAATAAGTTAGATAGCATTTACCGATTTCTCTGTATGATAGGGTGTAAAGTCCTGATGGAAAATGCCATCTCCAGCATTTTTAAAATGATCCCGAATAACTGGTTTTAAACCCCTCTACAAGATATCGATATAAGCCGATGTATTCACAGTTCTAATAAGAAATTTCAAGTGTTTAAACGCATTTTTGCTGGATACGCATCTCTAGACCATTTGGCTTGCTGCGAATTTCATAGTAGCCAGTATGCAATCTGGATGATAAACTTCACTTTTATGTCTCCGAACACAAAGCTTATCGTCCGATGCATATTGGTT